AGCGCCACGAAATGGGCAGAAATGCATTAGGCGGCTTATTGTGCACTGTCTAAAGTACAAAATTCAAAAATTCATTAAAAAAAAATTCTACAGTAAAAACTGCTCAAAATGTGGATTTCGTCAGAGTAGGAGCTCTAGTCTAATGGGACAATGTCAAATTTAACGCACCCTCTGAGGCGGCCGAGAAACAGCGCCACGAAATGGGCAGAAATGCATTAGGCGGCTTATTGTGCACTGTCTAAAGTACAAAATTCAAAAATTCATTAAAAAAAAAATCTACAGTAAAAACTGCTAAAAATGTGGATTTCGTCAGAGTTCGAGCTCTAGTCTAATGGGACAATGTCAAATTTAACGCACCCTCTGAGGCGGCCGAGAAACAGCGCCACGAAATGGGCAGAAATGCATTAGGCGGCTTATTGTGCACTGTCTAAAGTACAAAATTCAAAAATTCATTAAAAAAAAATTCTACAGTAAAAACTGCTAAAAATGTGGATTTCGTCAGAGTTCGAGCTCTAGTCTAATGGGACAATGTCAAATTTAACGCACCCTCTGAGGCAGCCGAGAAACAGCGCCGCAGAATGGGCAGAAAATGCATTAGGCAGCTTATTGTGCACTGTAAAAAGCAAAATTCAAAAATTCATTAAAATAAAATTCTACAGTAAAAACTGCTCAAAATTTGGATTTCGTTAGAGTAGGAGCTCTAGTCTAATGGGACTTTGTCAAATTTAACGCACCCTCTGAGGCGGCCGAGAAACAGCGCCACGAAATGGGCAGAAAATGCATTAGGTAGCTTATTGTGCACTGTCTAAAGTGCTAAATTTAAAAATTAATTAAACAAAAATTCTACAGTAAAAACTCCTCAAAATGTGGATTTCGTCAGAGTAGGAGCTCTAGTCTAATGGGACTTTGTCAAATTTAACGCACCCTCTGAGGCGGCCGAGAAACAGCGCCACGAAATGGGCAGAAAATGCATTAGGCAGCTTTTTGTGCACTGTCTAAAGTGCAAAATTAAAAAATTCATTAAAAAAAAATTCTACAGTAAAAACTGCTCAAAATGTGGATTTCGTCAGAGTAGGAGCTCTAGTCTAATGGGACAATGTCAAATTTAACGCACCCTCTGAGGCGGCCGAGAAACAGCGCCGCAGAATGGGCAGAAAATGCATTAGGCGGCTTATTGTGCACTGTCTAAAGTGCAAAATTAAAAAATTCCATCAAATACAGCTAAGATATAGAGCCCCCAATTGAGCCAACAATGCAATGGCTTTTTATACAGTAAAACGTGAAATTGTGCATGATTATATTCAAGCAGATACAGGGTAAAACATCAGTAAAACCAAATAGGCCAACAATGTGATAACTCTTCTGTATTTTGTCAGATTAGGTCCATATCTTTCTAATGTACAGTAACCATGCAATGGCACTTTCAAGTCAATGCAATTGAATTTAATTCATACAGTCATTTGTATAACCCTTTTCACAATACATATAATTTCAAGGCAGCTTTACAGAAAATGCAGGTTTCTATGTTACAAAACCACAATAGGATTTAATGAGATGATATCAGAAAGTACAGTTATAAGATACCACAAATTATAGTATTTACAAATATCATATATGCATCTAAGCAAAATTAATGTGTTAAAGCAATTATAAATAGATCATTTTGTATAATCATTCATGTTTGATGTTCTGGAGTCCTTGCAAGGGTAGGTTTCATCTATTCAAATGTGCTGGGTCATCTGAAGTCTTCATAAGAGGCTGGATCCAAGCTGGAGCATAATCTCAGTACCTTGTGAAATTCTAATTTGTAATAATAATAATAATAATTTAAAAAAAACATGTATTGAATACATTCAAATGATGTTATTTGCAATAATTAAAGAATAATGTAGGCCTAATTATATTTTAACAGACATTTATGTGTTATTATTATTTATTTACCTTTCAAAATACTTTATTATTCTTTTCTGGAAAAATATAAACAATACAAACAGGGTCTCTAATAAGTGTGAATAAGTGAAAAACCACACGGTCCCTAAATTGAGCTGATGACATACAATAATTAAAGAATAATGTAGCCTAATTATATTTATGTGCTTTAATATTTGTACAGTCCATTTTCGCTGATATATCAGTGTTATTTGCTTTTAAACATTTTTTATTATCATTTTATTCGGAATATAGACCCAAAAGTAACACAATCCCTTTAAAAACGCGAAAAAGAGAAAACCGCACGGTCCCTAAGTTGAGCGTCAATAAGAAGCCAGCAAACGCGGAAGTTCGCGTCATTTAAGGTGGAACGGATAGCGTCAATAAGAAGCTGCGAATAAGAAGCTGGATTCAGCCTCGTGATATTTTTAAACTGTTTAGATAATTGTTTAACTTCAACCCACACTGTGAAGGATCCCCGGTATTAAAACTTTAACACCTGTTGGCAGCTTTAATTAAGAACAATAACTAAGACTACTACATTATATAATGCTTATTAATAAATCATTTTTTTGCATATTAAATTGACTGAATATAGTGTAATGAAATAAGATACAGTTTAGCTTCTCATCAAGAAATATGTCACTACAGGACAAACAGGCATAGAATATTAACAATTTTCTAAATAATATTTAAAAAGTATTAGTAGTATGTTCCAAAGTAATGTGAACTACAACAACATGATAAGGGACAGACTCAGGTTAATCAAAAGGCCTAATGTCAACAACAATGTAGCAGTTGACGTCATAACATGGATGAGATTTGGAGCGAGCTGATTGGATGATACCTGTTCTCTCATGGTATAACTCCACCTCCCCAATTTAAATAAATCAATGACTTCACATATGCTGCTTGCTTCTGTGTGTTAATGCTTAACTGTGTTTATTACTTTATGACAGAGGAGTAGAGGTTCCTGTCACACTGAAATGTATGTTACATTTTCTTTAAAAAACAAAAATGTTAATTTAACCATTCAAATAATCATTGATTTTATGAATTTCTAAAATAAAACTGTTTGTATACAGCTGTTCAGTGGGAAGTTATTTCAGTCTATTTCCTGTCTAACAGTGTGGTTTAATTAAATATAATGCTGTTTATATAAAATGCACACATTTTTGAAGGTTGTCTTAATAAAATAATGACTAAGGTACTGGATATCATATCAGGAAACTCTTCAAAGCTGATGAAATATGATCTTGAGGGTTTTTCCGAGATATATTCCGAGTTTGTGTTCAGAAAACTTAGTCAATAATGGCTCATTGAATAAAATATCAGATTTTGTTCATTCATATGCTTTCATCTGATTATGATCCTGATCTGCTTTTAGGGATCCATTCAAAACTGAAAAATCACTGGACAGCCCCACGTCTCCATCCCAGTGAGTGTGTCACACATTCAAATCAACCCGTGTTTTTACACAAGATCTGTTTGACACTAACAACAATTAATTAAGGATTGAAACACATTTACGCACCCACACTCTGTTAACTGATAAAGAATGTCATATGAGAAGTTTGTGGCAGTAACTATAAGATTGCTTCCTCTTTTCTTTTTTTTAGGTCACCTATCATAGAGAAAGACGGGCTGGACCCTGTCATCACTGATTATGGGTAGGATTTTACCTCCGCATTTCTTTTTTACTTTACTTTGCACTTTGCTCTGCTGCTATCATGTTTTGTAAAGAAAAGCGATCTAGAAAAAAACTTGGTTGTTCATGCATAAGTGAACATGAACAGCAATACCCAGATTAGCCTATGTGGTGCGACAGGTAAGATGATATTATCATGTTACTTCCCATAATGCATTGCAATGCTTGTGTATTTAATTATAAAGAGAAGCAATAATTGGTACAGAGCATATGAATATAAATAAATTATTTTTTAGGCCTTGACTGTAGATCTTATTAACATCTATTCAGTATTGCAGACCGTCACATAGTCAAACTATGGAGGTAACATCTCGTTAGAGAGATTTAATGATTGTTCTCATAAAGGGCAGGTTCCTACCATCCTGCACATGTATTATTCAAAGGTTCACTCCAGATGGCTTCTACATCAGCTACGCCAAACCCAATAGAGAATGAAGCTCTGTCACATTTGATATTCAGTCAACAGGAGGCTAATTATCTTTTTCTTAATGAATGATCTCAATGTAATGACCCAGTCATGCAAGTTACAGTACAGTAACCATTACTCTGATCAAGAGCTGATAATGCATACCGCACCAGCATTACTACTCTTGGTGTAGATAATGATAAAAAAAAAACAATGTGCAAAAACATCTAAAGCTACATGAGAACTATGTGCAAGTGTACCTAGGACAAAAGCTGTTTTAAACTCAAAGTTGGTCATTTGTGGCTAAACATATTTGAATTTTTTCCCTGTCTGCTTCCTTTGGTGTCACAGCTCAGGATGTGGTGCCATCAGCCAATCAGCTTTGTCATGTGGCTCCAGAGAATGCAAAAGAGAAGCATTTCTTCTTCCATTCTTTCTTTCTATATGGTAAATGGTAAATGGACTGCATTTATATAGCGCTTTCAACAGACCCATGGCCACCAAAGCGCTTAACATATTGCCTCGCATTCACCCATTCATTCACTCATTCATACAACGACGGTGTATATACCATCACTCATATAAACCGTTCCTCTATCCCTTTCTCCTTAAACACTCCACAGGCCATGTCACTTCCTTGTGCTGATTCTGCCGTCTGCAGCTGTCTTCTGTGTCTCATGATCTCCCCTGTTGAGCACTGATTTACAGGCCTGTCATTGTGTCGAGTGTTATTGACTGCTGTGGAGTTCAGATTGTCACTTGACTGCAGATGCATGATGTCCACTTTAGGAGCGATTTGCTAGGTGGATTCTTAAAAAATTGGAACCGCCTCCATTGGATCATTGACCAATGAGAGGCCAGGGTTTAGTGTATGGCATGAGGGTTATAATGAGAAGAGGAGGAGGCTAAGTGTGTGTGTGTGTGTGTGTGTGTGTGTGTGTGTGTTTTGAAGGCAGGGAAGAAGCAATGAGAATATTCTCTCTGTGTGATAGTCATCCCAATCTCATTAAGCTCTGCGTTCCTTCCCGCTGTCCTCTCTGCAGCTTGAGTGAGTTAATGTGTATGCGTGCTGTAGCCAGAGGGAAGCTGCTGCTCTGCTGACAGGAGCCAGTACGAAGGCCTGTTCTTACACACACTGTGAATTACTCTGCGACTCTTCTCTCTCCTTTTATTCCTCCTTCTCTCGCTTTACTGCGCTCCTCGACCTCACTGTACCAGATGAAAATGTCAGGAGAGGCAGAATCTCTGTCAAACGGGTAAGAACGGCACATAGCTGACAGCGTGCTATTGTGTGAATGTTTGTTTTTAGCAGTGATTCGAGACTATTTAAGTGGTTCTAACATGAGAATGCTTTTACAGGTTGCATAACCAGAAAAACAGGGAAGGTTTGGAAATATTAGACAGGTAATTGTTTTGGATGTCCTTGCTTTCAGAGCTGTCATTTGTTAAAGTGTAGAGCACAGCTTTTTGTGGTTGTTGTGGGAGTGTTAGTCTCTTAGCACTGAGCATGTGCATGTATGTGTGTGTGTTTTAGAGTCAGCTTGTTTGTTCCAATCATTCCGGTGATGATCATCAGTAGTCAATTAACCCCAGGCGGCATCAGCTTTTGAGAATCGCTTAGTGTCAGCACAATTAGTTTAAGCGCTATACAGATGGTACACGGAGAGCAAAGGTTCATTTTACCTCTGTCGTAGCTACTGAACAAATCACAGACCACTTCCTCTTGCTAGCCAGGCTCGATGTAGCATGCGCAGTTCTTTATTCATTCAAATCATCCTGCTCTGATATCACATATCAGCATCAGGGAGGAAATTCACTCTGTTCCTCCTTGCGAGGGTGAGAAATGCAAAAAGCTGATTGTTGCTGACTTTAATTTAGTTTTACTTTAGGAAATATATCAGGGTTGATTTGACTTTTTATTTTTTTGGTCCAGTATAAATTTAAAACGCTGATTGTTAGAGACTTAAATTTAGTTTTACTTCAGTAAATATATCAGGGTTGATTTGACTTTTTTTGGTCCAGTAAAAATGCAAAAAGCTGATTGTTACAGGCGTTAATTTAGTTTTACTTCAGGAAATACCAGGGTTGATTTGACTCTTTTTTTTTTTTGGTCCAGTAAAAATGCAAAAAGCTGGTTGTTACAGACTTTAATTTAGTTTTACTTCAGGAAATATAAGGGTTGATTTTACTTTTTTTGGTCCAGTAAAAATGCAAAAAGCTGATTGTTACTGACTTTAATTTAGTTTTACTTCAGGAAATATAAGGGTTGATTTGACTTTTTTTGGTCCAGTAAAAATGCAAAAAGCTGATTGTTACAGACTTTAATTTAGTTTTTCTTCAGGAAATATAAGGGTTGATTTGACTTTTTTGGTCCAGTAACAATGCAAAAAGCTGATTGTTACTAACTTTAATTTAGTTTTACTTCAGGAAATACCAGGGTTGATTTGACTTTTTTTTTTTTGGTCCAGTAAAATTCATTCTCCAGTGTAAGACCCTCTTTACATCCGTTTTGGGGATTGCACAGCACCCACATTTATATTTTATGTGTATATTAATATATGATATATATATATATATATATAATCAATCATTTTTAGAAGTGAATTTAGGCATCACATCTTTATAATGCAGAGTATGAAAAATGTTCATCTTTTTTCTAAAGATTACATTTAGGAGTGCTTTTAGACCATTTTATGGGAATATTAAATTACAGAAAAGATCATGCAAATGTAAAAAAAGATAGTGGAAAAGAGCATGCACAGATAAATATCCAATGTAGAATTCTTATCTCTAGCAGTGGTGCTGATGTATAATGCAGATCCCTGTTTAAAAAGTGAATTAGTACTGTGGCTTTTAAGTTACATTAAACCACAAGACGACCAGCATTTGTTTAATGTATACCACCTGATTTAAAACTCACAGATTATTTCATGCTGTGGAAGTGTGGATGTTTGACATTGTTTGAGCAGGGAGCCATGCTCCATTAGCAGCAGGAGTCAACACAGCATTGAAGTCATCTGCCAGGCGTTAGGAGGTGGAGAGGCCCGACAGCCAAACCGATCTCTCCTTCTATAGGTCTGACAGTTGCTCGTTCTATCAGTCGCACTGCTATTGGGCGTGCGGATCGCATAAAGAGCGTCTCTGTGTGGGCTGCCGTTTGGAATGCAAAGATTTTTTTACATACTTTCAATTTCCAGTTCATTTGTCCACTTACAGAAATGCGCTGTGAATGGTTGTTTTCAGCAGAATTTTTCAGGGTGGAAGAACTATAAGAGGTTGTTGGATTCCATTAGATTAGGATGCGTACTGTAATCTTACCAGGCCGAGGTCAGGACCATAACAAATTTCAACTTAATTTAGAAATTAATTTTGAATGGTGCTGTAATTTGAAGAATATGTCCCTTATCCAGATATACAATGGGCTTTGATCTTGATAATTTCTGTGACATTTGCTTTCTAGTCATGTGTCTGAAGGAACAGTGGAACTGATCTTGTGCGTTCATAAACGATGATTGTGTTTATTAAAAATGCTGATTGCTGAGAAATATACGTTTTGCATTAGTGTATCATATAAATAACATGTACATCATTACAACATTGTAAATATTTGACCAGTAGATCTTTTATGCAGGGCTCTTTTAAGCATGAAATTGATTTATATTTTTTATATTATATTTTTCACTGTCTCAGGATAGTTGATAGAAGGGTTTGGGACTGTGTGTGTTCTTTTAGTGCCATCACAGTGTAGTAAGTAGTTTACAGCTCAGGTAATTTCCATTGTAGAAATGTGCTAGTCGCACTCAGCTATGATTCTGTGATTTGACTAGTCATGTGATTTCGACATGGCACATGAGGCACTCTGTTCTGTGTAACAAAACTCGTCTCATGTGAGTCTACATCATTTGAACATATTTTTTAAAAGTCATAGTCATTACAACATATGTAAAACCATGTTTAATGAGGTGTAAATCACTTTTTTGAAGGGGCATAAATGTTCATTGCATCACCAATGATTGCTACTGCAGTGGTTATAATAATAAATGACGTGCGAATGCCAGCAATCTGATCCATTGAGTAGCTATGTAATTTATTAATCTTCCATGAAGAGAAGGATAAAAAACCCTGCTGCTTTAATTGTTAAATTGCAAAACTCCAGTGTTGTTTTATGAGCTGTACGGTATTGTCCTGTTGCTTTCAGCCCTCTTCTTGTCTATCAGAGTATCTGCAAACCCACAACTGCAGTTAATTAGCACATGCAATGATTAAAATTTATAAATCAATGTTTATAGATTTATGCGCTTATGTGAGCGTAATAGTTTGTAATATACACTGAAAAAAAAAGAAGTTTTATTGGTGCCAAATCTTAGTGGGCTATAAATTGAATTACTAATGGAGAAAATCAAGTCAAAATAAATGAAATGGATGCAAAGATGCTTTTAAACATAATGAAGACATTTTCATCATGAATGTATGAAGCCCCTTAATGACCAAATGATAGTTTAAATCAAATGTGAAATCAATTTTTACTCCTCATTAAACTACTGTTTGAGTATTTAGTCTGAAATTATCATGTTGATTGTTGTTACTGTACATTATTTATGGGTAAAATTAGTTGGCAGGTCTGAAGTGCAGTAATGTCCAGTTAAGAGACATGTAGCCTACCTGCAATATATGCTAATAGCTATGTTTCCTTCAAAAGTTGTGAATTTAACGTATGTGCAAAATAGAAATGTCGCTCCGTTTCTATCCCTTGTGTTCAAGAGAACAAAATTGTCACTTCCTGGGAAATTGGCATAAAATATCTAATAAAACTGAAAGCCACACAGTGACTAATTTTTTTGAATATCATAAATGACTTGCGTCTCAGAGCGTGCAGACGAAATGCAATAAACGCTGTCATGTCATCTTGCGTTTGGAGGCGAATGCCTGGTTTTTGGGAACGCAATCATGTGAGACAGTTCTGATTGGCCATTATAGCCATCCACGTTGATGAATGTCTTTGGATCAGGCACTTCAGAATGACCAAACCAACATTTGAGATGCGGTGCAATGAAATTTGTCCACTGGTTAGTCTAGTTATCCAATCACATCCTCCGTTGAGGCAAAGTCACATGAGTTTTTTTGTTGCGCATTGAGGGATTTATTTAATTTCTTATCAGATAAAAAATGCATCCACTTCAATTGTGCGCATATACGATTTTTTTATGTGCATTATTATAAATTATGCACATCTTGGTATTTCCATCCAGTATTTTTTTATGTGATATCCCAAAATTCACAACAACAAAAAAATAGGTGGATGGAAACATAGCTACTCTTTAAGCACTATATTATTTTTTTTGATGCATAAATTAATAGATGAGGAAATAAATCTCACGTTCCCAGTGTTTTCTCAGTTGACACTACACACACTCACTCACCTGTGCCTCCGTGCGTTTGAAGGTGACATCCGCCTCGCTGCACTTGTATCTAAATTGAGAGGCTCTGGGGGATTCTCTGCAGCAGAGGGCTGTGACTTCACACTCACACGAAACAGGCTTTATGGGGGCAGTGTGAGATTTTCTGCAGATGCTCAGAAAGGCCTGGACAGGAGCCTGAGCTTCCTGTCTAAGATGACACCTGATCACTACTTCCTTGAGCTGATTCACAAGCTGTTGTGTTGCCTCAGAGCACAATGGCCCTGTCCCAAATGGCATTCTTTGTGTGTACTTAATCCTAGCCAGGAAAATTACATTTTTCGGAAATGCTAACTATAACTTAAAAATCAAAATGTATTTATTTATTTTACTTTAATTGCATTCAGACTGAGGCTTTGGAAAAGTAGCATTTGTTTATAAGCATTTTTCTTTCTTTTCCTTTCTGTATCTGTTCTAGGTCGGAGAGATCTGACCTGTCAGTGGCTCTTCAAGACTGCATGGAGGCACTGGATCTGTTCCTGAGAAATGAATTTGATGAGGCTCTGACCAGACTTAGAAGCAGGTAAAACTAAAACCGCCTGCGTTTCATAATTTTTGTGTGATCTGTAATGATTATGGAGCTGGGAGAGGTTCTGGGTTTGGATCATTCATCTGACTTTGGCAAAACACAATAAGGCTCTATTATTTCTTCTAGGTGCTTTTTGTGTGTATGGGTGTGCGGCATAGAAACCTTGGATTGTACAGTTTCATAATCCGTTTGAATCACTGTTCATAATCCATTTTGAATCTTATGAAGTGTTTAACCTGTTTTGTATTTGGTTTCATGCATTGAGTGCATCTATTAATTTATGCTGAGTTGTTCCTGTACATCGCTTTGGGAGTCTTTGTCCAGTCAATCATTGGGTATTTCTCAGGTAAATCTCACATAACCCAAAACCAACTGAATCAGTTCAGCTCTCTTGAGATTCACCTCAAGCTCTTTTCTTCTCCTCACTCCACACCCTGTTGTCATGAGTATGCTGTGTCTTAGACCATCTCGCATTTCTGCCCTCTTCACTACTCGCAGCTGTGGATGGGTGTGTGCTTTTGTGTATTATAAACTACATAATTATTTGGTCCATTTTGTAATCCTTGGCACCTTTCCATCTTTGTCCCCTGGGTCCCTCCACTTTTGTTGGGGTTGCATTCAGGGTCCAAAAAAACCCTTTAAGCCACACCTGTGTGTGTGTGTGTGTGTGTGTGTGTGTGTGTGTGTGTGTGTGTGTGTGTGTGTGTGTGTGTGTGTGTGTGTGTGTGTGTGTGTGTGTGTGTGTGTGTGTGTGTGTGTGTGTGTGTGTGTGCTCATGATTATTGTATTAAAATAATTGAGGCTTCATAAAATTTACTTTAAACCATGTATAATACTGCAGTTCCTAAAACAGTTAGCCAACTACCAAGCAACTTTGTGTTTACTCGCCAGAGGCAATTTTACTCTCACAAGTGCTAATTTTGGACCCTGCTGGTTATTAGTTCTGTTTTACATTTTCAGGTCATCTGTCAGGTATTAGTTTGGCACATTCATGTGTACAATTCAAACTTACATAATACAACTATGATCCAGAATCCAGAAAAGTTGGGACATTTTTCAATAAAATCAAGAATCTGTGATTTGTTAATTCCCTTTCAACTTTATTCAACTGACAAAAGTATAAAGTTAATAAATTTTGATTTTGATTGCTGCTACATACTCCAAGAAAGTTGGGACAGAGGCAAAATAAAAGTGAAATTCTTATAGAATATTCAAGTTATGGGTGACTTGCATGTGTGTGAAGGTACCATGTGGAGGCATACTTTGGGATTGTACAGTGACATGTAATGGCATCAAGATGACATCTTTCCTGGGAAGCAAGACAATGCCAGGCCTTATTCTGCATGTGCTACAACAGAGAGGTTTGTAGACACTCTACACCGTAGAGTGGATATGGTTGATTGCCTGCAGTCCAAATCGGTCTCCTATTGAAATGTATGGTCCGTCATGAAAAGGAGAATCATGCTAACGATGAACATGGACTGTTAAGCAGCTGTCTTGTATCAGGTGCGATTGGGCAAAAAATCCACTTGCAAAACTGCAACAATTAATATCCTCAATTCATAAACTATTAAAAAGTGTAATTAAAAGGAAAGGTGACATGTGACACGGTGGAAAACATGCCTCTGTCCCAACTTTTTTGGAGTGTGTTACACCGATCAAAATCCAAATTTGTTGTTCAGTGAAAACATTGGAAATCTTTTCTTTGTACTTTACCAGTCAGTTAAATAAAGTTGAAAGAGAATGAAAAAACACATTACTTGATTTTATTGCATTTTATTGCAACTTTTCTGGATTTGGGGTTGTGCATAAACATAGAAACGCTGATCAGCAAGGTATTGATTTGAACAATAAGAGGATCTCACTAAACCTTATGCTGCTCACTGTCTGAACTTGCAAATAGTGAAGTCACAGTTTTGAGATTTACTTAACAGGTTTGTTTTAGTCACGTCCCACCCCATTCCAGCCAGCAGGGCAGGGCCTCTACATGCACAGAGATAATGAAAGGTACATGTGTAAGAGGGAAAGTAAGTAATAAACGGAGGCAGAAAGAGAGATGAAGAAATGTTTGACTCAAAAGCAAAACTATCAGAGTCCATGTCTGTACAGGTTCAAAGTTGGAAACCAACTCTGCTGAGAGTGTTAGAGATGATCTTTCTGGCTACATTCACACAGTGGACTATTCCTTTAACAGGAGTTTAATCTAGCTCTCCAACCACCATAAAATGAATGTGAACAGAACTCCAATTCATTCTCCAGTCTGACTTGGTGCAGTGTTTTGCAGGACATCTGATTTGACTTTGACAGGATAATAAAGATTACACACTGGTCAGGAGTTTAGGCCAGTGTTTGTGATTCCGTAGGAAAACAGCAACTGTAGACACGACAAAAGCTCAAGCTCGATTTCAAATCCTGATGTTCATTTGAGTGATTGGATTTATTTGGTCTTGCAGCTTTTGCAGTATAATCTCAGTATTGTCTAATCCTGTTCCATGACACAAAGTTTGCCATATAAAAAGTTGGAGAGGTATTCTTTTAGTATTCATTATGTGTATTGCCTTCATGGTATATTGTTATCTATATGTTCTGCAGTACGCAGAGTCATTAAATGATCAGAAAGCTTCCCCCAAATATTACAATATTGGTATAGAAATGTATTGTTTGGTTAAATTTTTTTAAAAATGCTTCAATCCTGTACTTGTCACATCAACATTATTCTAATTCCACCTCTGCAAAAAAAATAGTGGTAAACCTGTTTATCCAGACGTCACTCTACTCAGGAATGTTGGACCAGTAGTGTCACATTCTATCCTGTTCCTGAAAGAACTGAAAATGCACTGTAGAAAAAAGTCACTAAATGAAGTTTAACTGCTGCCTAGAATTTAGATATACCAAAAGTTGCAATTAATTAAAGCGCTATTTTGACCTTTTTGAATTAAATGACAGAAATAATTAAATTGTTAAATAAACAGAATACTGCATCCTTTTGTTTTGACGGCTAGTATTTCTCTGTAAGTTCATATTGTCATAAGTATTAGTATTATGTTGTTAAGAATGGTCAGGATACACAAACGCCTTCCCCCATTTCCATGTCTCATTCCTGTTATTGATGATGATATTGAGTGTTTCAGAGGTGAATTTTCTTTTACTGTCACCTAGTCACACCACCCTTTCCATTGTTCTATATATAGATCTAATGCAGCTTCTTCCTTTGTGTTCTTTGAAAGGAATAAAGAAAGCATGTACCACGCGCTTACATATGCCACTATACTGGAAATGCAGGCCATGATGACCTTCGAACCGGAGGACATCTTGACTGCAGGAAACACAATGAAAGAGGCACAGGCTGTGTGTCAACGGTGTGTTATCCTATTTTGTCTGTCTGTCTGTCTATCTGTTTGTCTATCGGTCATGTTTAAATAAAAATGTTGCTATAGTCATAACAGAGTGATCAGGGTGGTGTCTACATTGGGCTTGTATTCCATTTCAGGGCCCAAACACTGCTATTAGCATCTATACACTATTTTCAGGTTCCTCTCGGTTATGTCACATTTGTATAGGTGACATAATCCTAGAATGCTGCAGGTCTAGGGATATTACCACATCCCAGATGGCAGAGGAATTTCAGAGATCCACGACACACTGTGTTAGAGGGGTGTGACAATCTGGTGTATGCTTGTGTGTATTCAGGCAACTCATACACCCTCTGTGACTCTGCCACGTCACCCAGGCTCGTCGTAGCACTGATCAGCTGACCCCACACAAACTCATAGCTGCTCTTCAACTTTTCCCACATCAATTACACTGTCTGATCCAAATAATGGCCGCCGCGTATGCAGGATAGTAAACCAGTTCTGTCACAATACATGCTATACATACCTCACTACATTGATCTTAACTGGTCTAATAATATAGATTGGGTATTTAAAATACTATTGCTACCTAAAACCTAAAGTTGGTGTCATTCATCCAAACTCCTTCATTTAAATCCACTTCTAAATATTCCTGAAGGGCAAGAAAGAAGGCAATTGGGATCAGGTCACAACACAGACCTGATTCTAACCTGCATTTCCCACATTAGCACCACAGACCAACATGTAATTGCTAGGCCACAGCTCTAACACATGATTAGAACCATTTTATCACCTCCTTCACATTTGACTAGATCCGATTACAAGATTAGGAGCCATATAACAGGTTTCTATGCTATTGTTCCACAAACTCTGATCTATGTTCATTTATACACTACTTAAAATCAGCAGTTTAAAGAACATATATAAACCAGTGTTTCTGTCGTTCCTTTCCAGATGAAAATACATCTTTAGGTGCAAGAATCAGATTTATTGCCAAGTATTTGGTGAAGCTTACAGTACGCAGGGGGGAAATTGAATAAAAAAACAAGACAGATGATAAAATAAGTGAATAAAAAAAAAGATACATATACTGTCTAAAGTTTGGAACAATTAAGATTTTTCTAATCTTTTTTAAATAAGTCTCTTATGTTCACCAAGGATGCATTTACTTTCACAAAAAAATAGACGAATAACATGTACACAATAGATAGAGTAAATATGCATGTACAAAATCTATATACAGAAGCAATTATGCAAAAGAATGTGAAAACGTTTTTTGGCATTGTGGGGAGAACTTGTGTGGGTATCTTAACTGTTCATGATGTAAATGTCCTCAGGGAAGAAACTATTTTTAGTGCCTGACCATTCTGATGCTCAGTGGCTGTCACGTGAGTGAGAAAGAGTGACTTCTGTATTCCATAAACGCACAGACCTAATGTTCCCGCTTTTAAATGTGGTTGTCACTCACAAGACTTATTAGGGTGTACGTGGCCGGTGTCTTTTTGTTTTTTTTTGTCTAAATTTAATAGAAGCCAAACTGACACCGAATAATTCCTGTTTGTCCCTCAGCGGGGAGTCGGTTTACTCAGACAGAAAACAGACTGACATCGTCTCCTCCTTAGATCCAATCCAACTGCTCTGTTTATATGGCCTGAGGGAAATAAAGAAATAAACTATGAATCAAGCCTGACAAGGATGTGTTTGTCATTACAGATACCGTAAGAAATCTTCCTTCAACAGCAAAAACTTCACAGAAGGTGGGTGCCTGCATAAATATATCACTAAATGATTCATTGGCAATAAGGATGCATCAGTAAAGAAATAAATCATAGTAATATTTTAGGATCTTTTAGAGATATTTACTTGTTTACATTATTTTGCCACTATAATACTCTTTATACAATCACTACCTCAAACCATGGAGACCATATCATGTGGCTGTTTTTTTTTAAAAGGCCATGTGATATTCATACTCCCACCACCATTTAGTCTGAAAGCATAATTTCGTTTGTGTCCTCCCCAGAGGAGCTCCATGCTGAAGTGTGCTATGCCGAATGCCTCCTCCAGAGGGCGGCGCTCACTTTCCTTCAGGTCTGTCCCAGTGGTTGATTCCCTGTTAGTTATAATGTGAGTGAAACATAATAATGTGCATAAAGTTGCTTATCTAAGATTTACTGCTTCTTTCAGGATGAAAATATGATCAGCTTCATAAAGGGAGGAATGAAAGTGAGGAACAGCTATCAAATATACAAGTAAGACCTGCTGCAGTGTTGTTGTTGTTGTTCATTTGGTAATTGAAATGAAATAAAATAAAATATAAGTGTTTAATAATAAAGTTTAAATACTGAAATTACTGCAAATAAAGATTATAAGTTAAAGCTAAATATAAAAAACTAATGCTAATAAAAATGAAAAAAATACAATACAAAATAACTAAAACTGAAAATATAAAAATAAAAGCACATTCAAAATATGAATAAATACTATAATGTTATATAAATAATATTAAAATAACATTGACCTGTGAAATAACACTTATTCCTCTTTCCCTCTCATTTAATGTGTATGAGCTTTTATTGCAGCTGAATTATTGAACTTAAATATAAAATATTATTTTAATAACTCATATTATTATTATTGATAATTTATTTAATTTCTTTTTTATTACAAATTATTATCTATTATTGTTATATCAAACGTTTTTTTAAATAATAAAATAAAAACAATTAATAATAATAATAATAATAAAATAGTTTCAAGTTTTCATGTAAGTATGTCTTTTTGTCTATTTATATGTGTTTGTGTTTAAATATCGTTTCATTACAAGGGAGCTACATACAGTCCTGAAGTCCCCAGGCTATGTTCACGCTGACAATCATGGTCATTTTGAGGGAGGCGTTAAGCTTGGGGTCGGGGCCTTTAACCTGGTGAGTGCGTTATGTCATGTGTTTTCTTGTGCCTTAGACTTAAAAGGCATCCTATTGTAATCAAACCATGACCGTTTATGAATCCTAGCATTGAGTTTGTTGAGGACAAGGCTGTTTTCTCAACCCCTCACCTGTGTTTCTCCCAGATGCTGTCGTTGTTGCCAACACGGACTCTCAGGTTGTTGGAATTTGTGGGCTTCTCTGGTAACAAAGTGAGTATTGTGTAGTGCTAAGCTTAGTTTGGCTCTGCTCACGTTTGGCGTGTACAAATGAAATTTAATCTGAGCTTGGTGACTCTTTTTTTCTTTCTGACTGTCTTAGCATTAAAGGGTGTCAAGGTGTTTTTATACACTATAAAAAGTGGTAACCTGCCATTGTTACCTTAAAGAGTTCTTTCTACCTGATTTAACCCATAAAGACCAGTTTTGTTGGTATAAATTAATGTTTTTAGGTTGATTCTGCGATATTAGATAATATTTTTGACCAGTTAATTTAAATGTTACCATTTTGTACTTGTTTAAATGTAGTGAAGCTTGGAAGTGTGGATGATTTCCTGTTTGAAATGTCTGTCTTAACCATGTTTGTTTATTTTACAATCCACACTGTGTGTGTGTGTGTGTGTGTGTGTGTGTTATAGGAGTTTGGTCTTCAGCAGCTCCTGGAGGGCTCCGCTGAGCACACGTTTAGGTCTTTCCTGTGTAACATGTTGTTGCTTTGCTACCACACCTTCATGAGCTTCATTCTGGGTAAGACAAAATTGCTTCTGAATCACATGTTCAAATCATATGTAGCATATCAAAAGTAAGTAACTGTGTTTTTCTGTGTCACCTTCTGTGTTTGTGTGTGTCCTTTAGGCACTGGAGAGGGAGATGTGGTAGATGCAGAAAAACTGCTACAGCCTTATCTTATAAAGTATCCAAAGGTAATTACTTGACCTTTTTTTTTTGTTTAAACAACAGATTTTCCAGTGAAAAAGCCAAACACACTAAACAGAACAAAAACATGAACAGCCTTTGCAACCAGACTGCAGCTGCAACAGGAACCACACTGCAGCTGAAAAATGTTCATGTCCCTAATGATAATAAAAACTATTTAATTATGTTATATGATGAGCGTCTACACAGAAAATGAAATAGTAGAGTATGAACTTCTGTGCTTTTGTCAGGGATCCATTTTCCTGTTCTTCGCTGGTCGAATTGAGGAAATTAAAGGAAATCTGGATGCTGTAAGTGATTGTTACTCTTATGCAATGCATAAAAAGTCTTGATTCTTATCAATTTATATTTTATTTCTCTTGCCTATTTGCATGTGTTCATATGCATGTTCTTGTCCTGCAGGCTATTAAGCGTTTCGAGGAGTGCTGTGAAGCTCAGCAGAACTGGAAGCAGTTCCATCACATGTGTTATTGGGAACTGATGTGGTGTTTCACTTATAAGAGGCACTGGAAGATGGCCTACTTCTACGCAGACCTGCTCAGCAAAGAGAACACCTGGTCTAAGGTGAAACCCTAAAATATACAGCTGACTGGTGCACTGAACAGATACTTGACTATGAAGAGTTTGCTTGATCTGTTTGATATTCAAAATTGAATGGATAATCCCTTTTAAATTCTAATAAATTTGAATTAGAAAACATGATGTAGAATTTAAATACGTAAAATATGCATGTATATGTGTAACCAATTTTATTTAATAAAATTGAAGATTTTGCTCTCAGTTTAAAAAGCTCTGCTGATATAACATGAATGGAGACTGAGGACAATTAATCTCCCGCCGGGATGGTTGTGTTTACTGTGCAGTTTGGAACTCATCGCTCTTTTTTTTTTTTTTTCTCACACACACTTTTTTCAGGCCACATATGCATATATGAAAGGTGCTTACCTCAGCATGCTGAGTCGTGAGGAATGCCAACCGTTCGCGGAGAATGAGGTGGCTTTGTTTAGGTAATGGCAAGGGAATGGTGTGTATGAGCCTGTACGTATATGTTTGTGTTTTGCACTTTTGTTCATAAGAGGATGTAATAACATGATTAAATACAAATCTATAAATCAGATAACATGACTATCAGATCAGAAAAAGCTCATTATCTATATACATTGATTCAGTTCAAGCAAGCATTGCAAATGACCTTTATTTTTGATCTTATATTTAATTTGTACCTCTCATGTAGCTCATCCACTATAAATTGACATTATATGTATGAATTTTATTGTATAATACAAACTGATCTGTTTTGCATTTTTCAGGCAAGTTCCCAGTCTGAAGCAGAAAATAGCAGGGAAGTCATTGCCCACAGAGAAGTTTGCCATCAGAAAAGCTCGACGCTATAATACAGATAACGCCATTCCTCTTCCTGCACCTCCATTGGTCAGTGTTCAATGTTACATGGATTCTATTGTCTGTATTTATTTGATACTGTCTGCAAGTGTCTTATTTACATTCACACAGGATGTGTTCTTGCATCTTTGACCAGCTATACCTATTAATAGACACGGTACTTCCTTAAAAATGAATTCCAAGACAATGCTACAACAAACATAATGAAATGACCCTTCACAATAGATAATGCTTTACAATGAACTCTGTTAGAGAGCTAAATATGGCAATTTATCTGTTCAATAAAATACCTTACTCATCAGTTGAGTAATAAAAAAGCCATCTCCGTGTCACTTTTACAACATTTGAAATCCCTCAGTTCTTGCCATCTCTGAAAAGCCAAGCCAGTGTTGATTCTCATTTTATTACGAGCTCTGTTGCGTTCCTTTTTTGCCCGCAGACTCTAGTCTATTCAGTGTTTTTTAAAACAGACGAATCTCTGGAGGTTCAAGATTTAGCATGCTCCATATCAACCTTTCTCGCTCATTATGACAAATAGCCAATGCCAATCCCACACCGTACATGCGTCAAAGTAGCCAGAGCAACTTTTCTCTATTTACTTGCACGGGCGAGTGACATATATTTGCAATTTCCCGGGAAAACCATCCCGCTAGGTCTAAAATATAAACACTTATAATAGGCGTACCATAGTGAATCAAGTTAAGACAAAAACACGTTTTGGATTGACTGATGATGTATTGAATCATTATTTAAATTGTGTTCATTTTAGAACAAACAAATGACATACTTTACCTTTAAAAAACGACAAAACGAGCATGAAAATAAGCTAAAACAACTAAAAATCAAGATATTTCTTCTTATTAGGTTATTTTTTATAACAAATAAACATCTTTCTAGGTATGCCAAGCTCTAAAATATTTTATTGGGTAGAAATTGTGAGTGAGGGGGGGGCCTTCAAATATTGTTGACTATGTGGGAGCAATGGAAGTCAAAAAGTTTGAGATCACCATTCAGATGTGTTCAGTTTGATCATGTACTGTACATATGCAGCGTTGTACTGCATCTATAAACATGCTCCCTGTTCCATTGTGTTCCGTTTTTGCTATTTTTTAATGCTAGAAGACGTCCTGTGTGAACGGCCCTTTAATTAACAGAGTAAGGAATTAGACCATCCTGACATCCTGACTAATACAGTATAAACAAAGGGAAGCACCTGCAGTCTTAGATTCTCACTCATTGTGTGGGTATGTTTACACGACAGGAGATGATGTATATCTGGAATGGCTACACTGTGATTGGGAAGCACAAGGACCTGACTGAGGGCATGCTGAAGACCCTGGACGAGGCTCAGCAGATGCTTGAGCAATATCCAAGTAAAAACCCCTCCACGCAGTGCAATAGTGCTTATGCTGTTGTCCACTTTTAAAATAATAGTTCACCTACAAATAATGTCATTATTTATTCCCTCATGTCATTCCAAATGATATTTTTGAGCAGGGACAGTTATAAAGAATTTAAAAATCAATACACAGCTCTTTCCATGCAACCACAATTCATAATGACCATGTGCATCAAAAGTAACAGTGTGTTCCACTGAAGAAGAAAAAAATTCAATACAGACACAGTCTATGTATTCACAATTAACTTTTTTTCTGACATAAATATCTCTGTGTGTTTGCCCTCAGGGTCTGAGTTCACCACAGATGACCAGTGTGTGGTTAGTCTGCTTAAGGGGCTCTGTCTCAAACACTTGGGTTACAAGGAGGAAGCTGAACAATACTTCACCCTCATCCTCTGCAAGTCAGTCTTGCTCTTTTGCTTTACAACAAATCACAGTAATATAAATAGAAGCGTTTGTGGTTTCCCTTATGAAGACTTAAGTAGACATGGCCGATTTTCTGGTACTGACTCTACAGACTTATATTAAACATCCAGTAATATCAAGCTGGAAGGGTCTGACTGGTAAAATTACGTGTTCTGTGAGTTAAAGTGCCTCTGATGCTATTTTTAAAATCCCTAATTTTGTTTCGGAGGTCTCCTACAATAGGTTTACATGCATCCAAGGTAAAAAAAAAAAACAATTAAATTTTCTTTGAATTTTTCAAATTTGAATTTTTCATTGAATTCAAGAGCATCACCTCTTTTCTCACAGTGTCTTAAAGCGTTCGATAAAGGATTTTAGTCCTTCAAAACCCCTCCTTTCCGAGACCTTCCTCTGCTCTAATTGGTCAGATGGCCCAGTCTGTTTGTGACTGGTCTACCGCTTACAGCGCGTGTCAGAAACCAAACACCATTGCCGTATTTGAATTTCAGCTCTGGAGGCTTCCTCGTCCGTATCAATTCCAGCATGAGTCCTCATCCTTTGGAAATGCTAGCAAAGTGGATTCGCAGCGTAGAAAACCGCATCTTCTCGATATGTCGACAACATATTACTACAGTGTTTGAGGGTGGTCCAAAGTACTAAGTAAACGTTTTTCACAGACACCCAATGAAGAGCATAGGCTGGAAATATGCAAATTTGCCACAAACCTAAGTAGATATGTTACGGAAGTGAGACTGGAATTGCTGAGGACTCGTTTCAGCAGTTCAGAATTAATTCTTTCTTTTAGGAGACAATAACTTTATTTGTCGTACACTTTGATCTTTAAAACTTTGCAGACCCTTTACATTCACAAACAGCTATATTACACACTGCATGAAAGGTAATAAGTGAAAAAGCTAAATAGGGCACTTTAATCTCCAGAGTGTCACAGATAATAGAGAAAATGATTCAACTTTTGTAAAGATGTCTTGGGTCACTGTAAATGATCTAATTCAGTCTGTCTACTGATGTTTATACTTGTACAGTGAGAGTCTGATTAAATATGACCACTACCTGGTGCCCAATGCTCTTCTGGAACATGGTTTGCTGTGTTTGGAGGAGGGCAGAACAGAGGAGGCCATCAAACTTCTGGAGACAGCCAAGTAGGTTCTGCCTATATTATAACTATAGGCTACCTCTTAAATAACAATGTACACAATGTGTAGATGGATGGGGGTATTTGCCACAGATTTGCCACTTAATAAATGCTAAAATTAGCGGTTTTCTATTATCCTCAAAGTCTGGAAGAGATTGATTCATGGCTACCAACTGCTCAAAACAAATCATGTTTATACCTTTCAACGTTGCTATTTTAATATTTAATAACAGTTTCATTTATTTTTATTATTTTTAGTGTTAATAATAATTTCAATATGTCATTTCATTTAAAGTAATTAACACTCCTATATAGTGTTAGAAAGTAGAAATTATGCAATAAAATAAAATTATTTACAGATAGTATAATATGGTTAATTTGTACATTGTTGTGAATGTTTCCTTGTGAAATAAAACCCTCAAATTCGAATACCCTCAAATATTTTTTAGTTCTTAAAAAAAGGGACCAAGCCAAAAATTGCTAAATATTTAGTGGTTTTTTAATGGTCTTAACCATTTTAATCACAAATCACTGGTCAGGAAATTAACAAGAATTGCACAAATAAGTTTTACAGGAAGAATCAGTGTTGTTCCACTCAATGTTAATGGCTTTAGTTCAGTTCATGAGTAGTTTATTATTATATTTCTCACCAGATTTTCGAAGACACCACTCTGGAGCATCACCATGCAACTCGTGTTTCATTGCGATTCATCACTCCACACACAAATTCCCATATTCTGCCAAAAGTGCACTTGGTTAAATTCTGCTATAATAATAATAATAATAATTTTCTGACTAATTATTTGTGGTTAAGATAATTTGGCTGTGGGTGCACAAAAGTCATATATTCCACCATGAAACACTCAGTCATTGCCTTATGAGCATTGAACACTATTAACAATGATTTCTTTGCCAGGCAAAATTACAAGAACTATTCCATGGAATCACGGACACACTTCCGGATCCAGGCAGCACTACATAAGGCCCGAGGCACAGCTGTGAATGGAGACTGCTCACCCTCCAGCCCTTAACTGTTGAGGTCACCCCAGGGGTCATAGAAAGCCAAAATCAGGCTTGATGTGGGTTGCCAAATGCCAAGAGGAGAACTAAAAGAGCACATGACCAATCAGACCCAATCAGAGTTTATAGTGACAACAAATCAGCTTCATTTAATGACGCACACAATTTAAGGACAACAGCTGCATGAATATGTTTTGTGAGGCAGTGCAGTTCAGTCAAGAGACAGGAATGACATCATGCTTTTATGATGTCATATAAATAACATTGTGCTAGTATTTTAAATGTACCATTAATAATAATAATAATGATAATATTAATATAATACAAGATATACAAGTTATGCCAGTCCAATAGGATTATACTAAGAACATCGTGAACTCAAGTAAGGCCATCCGTCAATCATTTTTGGCTGCTTTCAGACCCCTTGTTGGTAATTCTGTTCACTATTGGTCACCCTGTGACATCTATAGCTAGACATGGCTGTGCCTTACGGCTAACCGATTTATTTGGATTTAAAGCACGTGCAGAAATATTAGTTTCCTTTAATCTTTGGAGTTTAAATAGGTTATGAAATAAACCTATTGTCCAGAGGTAATTTGATGAACTTAAGGTTCGATATCATGCGTTACTCTTTGGATAGAGTACTGTGGCCTTGTCAAATCTCACGGACAGGATTCCTTTTCTAAGCTTAATTTTTATCATATAGCATTATCATTGTCTTTTTGTGTACATAATTAGTCTGTTTTAGCAATGTGTTTTAAAAAAAAAGAGAAAACTAGCATCTTCACAACAGCATGAAATGACTGTTAGAATGTAAACTGGAAGTTTTGTGGGTTTAGTTAGCTATTTCTTTTTTAGTATTTATTCACTATGATGGCGCCTTTCAAAATGTCCCGTTTTAAGTGGGCAGCTGAATGTGTCTTTTAGAAAGGCAGTCTCCTTCATGTGGACTTGTTCCAGATCGTACTTGAGCTCAAACAAACAAGGCTTTTAGATACATGCAAGACAGGCTGGCATGCCAGCTCCAGTCAATATGAGGGATGCATTGACAACCACCACAGCTATACTCTACGCAGAGAAAGAAAATTTGAGCTGGTTCAGGACAGAGGATTGTACTTTGTTCATGTTTGTACTTTGTTGTATGAATGCTACTTCATGGAGCTTTTCCCCATTGTGCTGAGTTCAACCAACTAAACACAGCTTGCATTGTTGTTGTCAAGTACAGCAAGGATTGTGTTTTATATTGATTTAGCCCAGATTAGTTTTAATAGTGTCCATGGATGGATTTTTGCTCTTCTGCGATGTAATCTTTATAGTGCCTGTTTTATGAGATCCATCCAGTTCTACCAAAGTCAAACTTGCATTAAGCAAAAACAATCATGAGCTCATGTTGCTCAAAAATGTCACAGACTACTTGCAACATGCCATGTTTCAAGTGTGGTAAACATGTAATGATATATGGGTTTTTCATTTGCAATGGCTTTTGTTTCTCCCTAATTGAACATTTTTATTGATTTAGATTTTACAGACTTTGGGCTATAGAGGTCAGCAAATCCTGTATGTGGTGCATGGCTACTGTGTAAACGCATTCCTGTAAATACTGTACTTACATTTTTTTTTATTTAAAATTAAATGATATAATAGCATTCCCAAAACATCTTTGTTTTCCTTCTTTGAGACTTGCCTTCTCAAAGAGATGGACAAAAATTGACATTCTGTCCTAATTGAATTTCTTCTGCAAAACACAAAAGATGTAGTATGGCAGAGTGAGCCTCAGTCACTTTCATTGTATGGAGAGAAAAAATGCAATACTATACAAGTGTATATAACCTAAATAATATTAAAATGTTTAATTGTTAAAGGGATAGTTCACTCCAAAATGAAATAACCATTGACTCATTTACATAAGGTATTTCATGTAAATTTATAATGTTGAATATGCTGTATAATTTTATTTTTCGCTGGAGCACAAAAGGAGATAAGAATCTATACTTTATGTATTTAATCTTATTTTATTAACCAACGTCTTTGCTGCTGAACTTTGATGATCCAATTCAACCATAATAGTCAAAAATTGCTTAAGATAAAAATCACATTTGTATTAAAAAAAAATCCTGAAGAGGCTGCTTCCCAAATCGCATACTCTCAAGTAGGTACTGTGTTTGAATATGCAATTAATTCGCGACTGCTAAAAAAGTATGTTCTGTATTGTATGTGTGAGCATGAATGTAATTCGGACTTGCTACATTCACTATGTTGTCATTATCATGTAACCTACCAGCGTTGTTACGCATTGCTTTTAAAAGTAACTTTCCCCCTCACTACCGTATTTATTTCAACCGTTTACCTCCAAAAATGCAAGTGAATAGTGAAGGGACTGCCTAATATCTTCTTCGTTTTTTTTTTTGTTCCACGAAAAAAATAAAGGCATGCATTTTCACAACAATATGAGGTTAAGTAATAATGACAGCATTTTTGATTTCGAGTGAAATATGCCTTTAAAGCGGCCTAATGCGGTCAAGTTTACAGGCTTTAAAACCCCTTGTTGTTGGTGTTCTAAGGCGGCAATATGATTGGGTGACGAATAACCACTAATAACTTCCTTACTAAAGAAGAAACCCGCTGATTGGTCGATACAGCACGGAGGCGGGACTTAAAGTGACTGCCTGAAAGGCAACATTGCCTGAGTCGCCATTGAGAGCGAGCGCATATTTGATATTGTAGAAATTATTCGTTGTAGGCTAACCAGTGTTTACGGTTGAGACGAAGAGAAAAGGACAACTCTACATAACACGGGTTTAGGGCAAATATACGTATTTGACAGGGTTAAACTGTGTGTGTTTATAAAAGCATCGTTTCATATCCGTGTATAACACTTTTTTTCCAGGGTTCTTTGTGTGTCGACAATGGTTTGTTTTTCTCCGTCAGGATCTCTAATGGTGATCGGATCATTTTAAATGAATGATAGACGTTTAGTCATTCTGTTTAAAAGGACAGAAGTCTGGTTGGAGTGATTAAGGGCGCACAGGAAGAGATAGGCAGCATTTCAACATTTAGATAACAAGGAGTTTGGAAAGGAGATGGGGAATTGTCTGAAATCTCCCACTTCGGATGATATCTCCTTGCTCCACGAATCACAGTCAGACAGGGCCAGTTTCGGTGACGCCAACGATCCGGATCAGGAACCGCCACCTCCATATCAGGTAAGCTTCTGAAAAACCTTTAGAATAAACAAAGAAACTTTCCTTTCGGCTAGCACCTTTCTCATGCACGCTCCTGCTTTTTAATATAAACATTCACATTGCTATACTGATAATGGGAAATATCAAATGCACTCTAATATTGCAGTAATTGATCTATAGGTTATATATGTAACACCAGGCTGCAGCAGGAGCTCCATCTGTTTAATTTCGCTCTAGACAGTCTGCCATACTAAATCCTCTTTGTTCGACATAAACTTGGCCTACAATTCACGTCAGACCGTCCAAACAGATGGACAGCCTGTCATTTCATCTTTACTGCTCCCTCCGTGGCGTGTTGATTCACCAGCGCCAGCTTTATTGCGACAAAGTAACAATTCTAATTGTGACGCTCTTTGTTTGTAATTGTGACGTCATTGCGATGTTGTTCTCCCGGGTAGTGTTCCTCAACCTATTTGTGTCCTTTTTTTTAGTGCCCAACACAAATTTATAAAAATTAATAATCTATAAGCAGTTTTATATGTATTTTAATTGAAATCTTGTCACATACCCTTGTTTTGGGGTCTCTGTGTACCTAGCTGGTGTCTCTGCAAACTTCCATAGGGGCCGCAAGATGGCTTAAAATATTTCAAATAAGACAATGAGTCAGCCTTCCAACATTGTCCTGCATGGAGTCAAAAGGGTTGGGAACCATTGCTTTTGGGGATTTTCCACATTGAAATCAGTTTAAGTTCAAGTCATGAGATCATCCTGTTTAAAATGATGTCATGTTTCATATTACTTTGTTTAAATGGTAACAAAGTTATGGTAAATGTAATGTAATGGAATGTAAATGGTAACATTCATCACATGTCAACACGTTTTAACTTCTATGGGAACTGGGTTTGACTGGATGTCTTTGTGATGGGCGATGTAAGCCATATTGAAACGAATAATCGTGTAAACACTGCCATATAGGCAAACATTTTATGTACTGTCACTGTGTTTTTTAAAGAAGCAACATGGTTTATAATGTTTGTGCATTAAGCTGAGAGGATGTCTGAGCTCTGTTGTATTTTAGTCAGTTTTGCTGCTGTGGTGGTTGTTTCATCCTCTTTGTTGTGTATTGATCTTATCTGCTTTACAAAAAAATACCAACAAACTGTGCTTCCCCATTAGCAAATCGCCATCGACCCATCAGGTTCCAAAAGATAATCAGATATGCATCTCAAACGATCATGCAGTCAACTACTGTGATATAACTGTTATAAATCTTCTTATGCAAAACCTTCCCTCCAGAAGTTTAGAACTTCCTCTCCAATCTTGGTTTCAATTTTGGCTGGATTATCTAGATGATGATTGGCAGAGTGGAAGCAACCAGCCAATGAAAGCAGGAGGTGGGACGTTTTGTGCTGTGTTCCTTGCGCTTATCAGCTGTACTAACAGCGTTCTGCCACTTCCCCCTCCACATAGTCGTCTAGAAGTCGTCTGGGCCAGGAGATTGACTCAGAGGAGAACCACAGTTTATAAAGTAGCTTATACACACAGGTTTATAAAACATTTCTAGGTAGTGTTGCATGTATAATGATTGCTGAAGACTTATCAGACCTGTTTTGTTACAGTTTCCATTTGCATCTTACACCCTTAAAATGAACGTCCTTTATTGGCACCTATGGTTTCATGAAGAACCTTTAACATCCATAAAAGCTTTCCACTGTACAAAAGGTTCTTTTATAGTGAAAAATGTTATTAAAATGTTCTTCACACTAAGAGAAATTTTTTTTTCAATGACATAACTGTCAAACCCCCTTTTGACACTTTTTAATTTTTCTAAGTGTAGACTTCTAGTGATTATCTTTTCCGGTGGCTGCTGCTTTATTTTCTACGATAATTATTTATTTGCACTCCATACAATGAAATCATATGTTATATGGGAAGAAAATATTATAGAATCCATTTTTTTTAAGCAAATCTCTCACATCATCATCTCCAGAGCTGAAATGCAAACATAAAAGGGTAAATGTGCCACTAATATCTTTCTTGTGTTACTGGGCTGTGTCTTTCAAGAAGACGCACCTTTCTGCTGAACACCAGCAAAAACCATGCTCGGCTTTCTGTTTTGTGAAGTTATTGAGTCTCTTGGGTGCAAGATCAGACAAGGGTGTGAAAAAAAGAGCAAAAGAAGACAGCGCTCTGCTGAATTCACCCAGCGCTTGTTAACGCCGCTGCTGCTCTGTGCAATATTCCGATGGCACGCTTTGGCCTATTGTCGGAATGCTGGACGGACAGGAGGTCTGTTTGCACAGCCCCCTTGAGAACCCAAATCATTCCCAATCTCAGCACATTTTTGCGTCGCCTGCCAAGAATGCTTGACGTTTTTTCTCCCAGAATCTCAGGCAGGGAGCTAGAATGGGCTGCCTATGCTCTCAAGTATGTACAGAATCTGTTCTGCTTATTTTTTTTTTAAGTTATAAAGGGTTCTTTAGTGTACAGTTAGTAGTAAATAGTTGTAAATGCCGTTTTAATGGCCTCATTCATAAGCCTTCAAAAAACTTGCAAGAATACTTTGACGTTACTACTTTCAGAACACAAACACAACGAAGCCATCCAAGTCGTGATATGCTAGATAGATAGTTCACCCAAAAATTAATTTTATCATAATTTATTCACCCTCGTGTCATTCCAAACCTGTATGACTTTCTTTCTTCAGATATAATATTTTAACTTGTTTTGTCCATATAATGAAAGGGATTAGGGTCTGAAATAACATTGGACCCCATTAACTTTCATTGTATGGACAAAAAACACTGAAAGATATTTCAAAATAACTGGTCTGGTCCACAGAAGAAAGTCAGTCATGAAGGTTTGTAATGGCATGAGGGTGAATAAATAATGACAGAACTTTCATTTTATGGTGAACTCTAAGGTTTCTCTCATAATGTGTGTGCAGAAAAGGAGAACTATGTGTTTGAAGTCAGAAAATGAAGCGGCAATGTTAGCAGAGGGCTTAATTTTTTTTTTTTTTTTTAAAGCTGGTCTAACAGTTTAGATTTGTACTCCTAAATCTTCTGTTTTTCACAACTTGTAAGATTAGCTTTCCAATTTGAATGAAAAGTTGAATTGGAAAAAGTTAAATACATTTTACTATATCATACTTTATTTTATGCATAGGAAAAATAAAATGCCCTATTTTCAGAAATTTGGACCACATTGTATGTCAAAAAATATACAGTACCATTAAAAATTTGAGTCGGTAAGATTTTTTTTATGTTTTCGGAAGAAGTTTCTTATGCTCACCAGGTCGGCTTTCATTTGATAAAATAATGGAAATTTGAAATATTACAATATAAATTCCTGTTTTCTATCCTAATATATTTTTAAATGTATTCCTGTGAGGGCTAACCTGTGTCACATGATTCTTCTAATAATAAACATTTCTTATAATTATCGATGTTGAAAATGGCTGTGCTGCTTACTATTTTTGGTAATCTGAGTTTATTTTATTTTTTTAATAAGAAATTCAAAAGAACAACATTTGTTTGAAATATAATTATTTGTAACATTTATAAATTGTCTTTACTCTCGCTTTTGATTTCGATTTCTCTTGAACGGTTAAGTATATTTATTTAGATTTTCCATTAAACATTTCCATTTAGGATTTCTTTAGCGGTTGATATCTTATCAAAGCTCTCATGGTTCCTGGCTTTCTTTAGCTGCTATGTTAAGAAGCATTAGCACAATTGTGTAAGGAGCTCAGTAGAGTTAGCCTAGTTTCACACCCTGTGTCTCAGACAGAGACTAACCCGATGAGAAAGGCTCTATTTCAGAATAACAGCCGGTTCCACTCTGGTCTGTGTGACTGAACAGTAAATACAGTTTACAAAGTAAAGCTAACCTGTTAGTGTTTTGGTGCATCTGATTGAAACGGCAAGTGAACCTGAGGGGGTGATGAAGAGACATGTAAAATGAGGTCTTCCTGGTAGTTTGGAAAGCAGCTGACTCATGCGTGTGGGGCTGGACGTGGTGAGATAAGCACGTCTGTGAGAGAGAAAGACTGTGCAGGAGCCAACAGTAGAAAAAAGGGAGGTTTCCTTTAGCCTAAAAAGTGTTGTGGTTTCTACACTGCTCACTCATCAATTGATTCTCTGTTTATCATGCTGTAGCTCAAGCTAACAGGCTGCTTTCTCTGCCCTCTGACATGGCTCACGTCACCTAGTAGCCTGACAGATCATCTTTAGTGGACATACTCAATCCTAAGTCCTTACCCTCACTTTACCTGTCTCACTTTCTCCCTCACAAACACACACACTTTTTTTTGTGGCCCTGTATGTTTCAGATAATACTTCATAAACATTTCCACCACGTCTAAAATGATGATTGTGTTTAATAGCATGATGTGTAAATGATTTATATGATGTTGGAAATTACATTTGAAACATTTTTTGGAATAAAATGACAGACTGTTTTGTCTTGCAATGTCTAATTTTGTAGCTAGCATTATATGCATCTTAAATACGATAAAATGTTTTCACACTTTTTGCAGAATTACAGCTTGATTGATACACAGTAAAAATATTCTGTTCATTAGTGGTATTTACATAGTTTTTTTTATATATCGCACTCTCTGCACTGATACTTTTGCCTCCTGAGTAACTAATTACACTATCTTTTGAAAAAATGTGAGCCAAAATTGTTGGACGTGGTAGAAATTATACAGAGTCATAATGTGTTTAACAAAAGTGAAATAATATTATAATAAAATTAAAAATATATTTTTTTACAACCCATGTTTTTAGGAGTTGTTTGTCCACTGGAATTATTATTTTTTTTAAACGTTTTTGTTTTTTTTGCCCATGCTTTTAATGCATCTTGGGTTGATCCCAAAGTTCAGTATGAGATATTGAATGGGATCTTGGGTCTGTAGGATTGATCAGTGTATGGATCAAATGTTTAGTGGTTCAAACCTGCAACCTTTCAGTTGCTCAGGTCTTTACCACTACACCGGCTACTCACGACCAATTATG